ATGATCACGCTGAGGGCCAGTACTTTATTAGGCATAGAGAATTATTTTTTATAGTTTTTATCCTCTCTGAGATGAAGAACATATTTATATGTAAAATAGAATGATGAATTAATGTGCAAATAAGACATCAAAATATCTCTTGTTGTCATTTCGTTCTTTCTCGTACTTTAATGAGAGATTCGTGTCTCTCCCCTCTCTATCTCCTGTTCATTCTCTCCGTCTATATTCTTATGTGAATATCTCTCCTCTGTTTCTCCCTTTCTCTCCTCAACTCTCTCTTTCTACTGTTCAGTCTCCTCTCAGTTTATTTCTATTCCTATCTCCGTAGAAGAGGAAATGTGTGAAAAGCAAAGAAAATAATCTCTAAAAACATCTCTACAAATTTAAATAATTTTATTATTGAGTATAAAAAGTTTTCTTTCAAGCTGAAACAAATAAGTTATAAAGTTCCTGGCAAACAAAGTTCATACGTAAAACTGTTTTGTTACAACAGAAAAGAAATGAATTGTGTTAGTATATTGTATAAGAAATGTGCGAGATTGCCTCAGTAAAATCCAGAATCTAGGTTCTTTTATGTACATAGCGTAAATAATAGCAACAGTCATTGAAAATACAGTTATGGCAACTATACCCAAAATACGTGATTTTTTTCTATTTGTCCCCTTGGTAGTTTCGTAGTATAAGCTGTGCCAACTGGTTTATGGAAATACGTTAAAGGTGAGAAATAATTTACAAAATGAATTTTAGTATTCAATAAGATTTTTTCAGTACACAAAAATTTGAGAAATCAATATTGTTCACATCCCGGTCGAAGGTATACTGAAGACTTGTTTATTAATTTAGGTTACATTATTTATAGGAAAAAAATCAGATCATGGTAAGTTAAAAGATACATTTATTAAATTCAGAAGTTTTATTGGTTAATAAATATATTTCCCAATTTTTAATATTGATTATTAGGTGGGAAAAGATTATTAATCACTTTCCTGGATGTGAGCCTTCATTTTTTGAGCATACGAAGCAGAAAGGGTTGTTTACTTTTTCAAAAGGTTTCAGTTGCGTCTGAAAGTATCTCGCTGATTGGTCAATAAATGCTAATGCGGAAATTTGAATTTGACATTCGTGTGATCCCACTTTTGCTCAGAATTGAGATCTTAGTTACACTACTTAAATCTATTGATATTTTTTCTGTAATTTTGGGCAGAGTTCTACACCCCTCTCTCTCTCTCTCTCTCTCTCTCTCTCTTCCTTTCTTACCTCTGTTTCTCTCTTTCCCTCTCTCTTCCTTCATTTATCTTCTGTCTACTTCTATCCCTCTCCCTCTAAATTCCCACTTTATCTCTTCTCTCTAGTTCTCCTTCATCTCTATGTCCATTTCTAACCATATCTCTCACTCTTTCTCCATTTTTTCTTACCTCTGTTTCTCCCTCTTACTTTCTTCCCATCTCACCCGTTTCTCCCACTCTGTACATTCATATCTCCCTCTCTCCTTCTACTCGTCTTCCTTATCTATGTTTCTCGCTTTCTCCGTCTCTATCCTTCTCTCTCGCTATTTCCGCTTATCTCTTCCCCCCCGCCTTCTATTTCTGTCATTTTCAAAATTTTCCACGCTTTCTTTCCTAAACTACATTCTATAGTCTATTCTTCTACTCATTATCACCTTTATATCGTCTCTTCTCATATTTCTCCTCCTCCCTTCGTTCCCGCCTTTTTGACTTCCATGGGTTACTCTAAGTATTTATGTTGATATACGTCGATGAAGTTACTTCATTTTTAACCAGGTTTTCTTTATCCTTTTTGTTGTCTTTTTTTTTTGTCTACTTATTTATTTATTTATTTTTGATGAAGGTCAAAAAATATTTGTTTCTCAACCGATTCAATGCTCATAGCGCAATATGGAATAAAGTAACAACCATAAACGAAACTGTCTTGGGTCCTTACCTATAACTACAGAATGAACTCTTCCTAATACTATGTATACTACGCCTCTCAAGAGAGAGGGACAAATCAATCCGAGCTTCTCGGCTTGACGGTCGAACTCTCTGCCTCTGAGCAGAGAGGAACCCGGACGACGCTCCGCCGAAGGGCAGAGTCTCGTTCGGGGAGGTTGACCAACTACGGGCATTTTTTGGCCGAGCCTATGGTCTCGGGAAACCCACGTTAAACTCGGCCTTGTGCCACATGCAACCCTCGTGGGGGTTGGCTAGATACCAAATCAAGCCGAGCTTTTCGGCTTGACGGTCGAACTCTCTGCTTCTGAGCAGAGAGGAAGCCGGACGAGGCTCCGCCGAAGGGTAGAGTCTGGTTCGGGGAGGTTGACCAACCCGATGCCGTTTATACAGGTTCTACGGGCATTTTTTTGGCCGAGCCTACGGGCTCAGGAAACCCACGTTAAACTCGGCCTTGTGCCACATGCAACCCTTGTGGGGGTGGCTAGATACCGAATCAAGCCGAGAAGCTCGGCTTGACGGTCGAACTCTCTGCCTCTGAGCAGAGAGGAACCCGGACGAGGCTTCGCCGAAGGGCAGAGTCACGTTCGTGGGGGTGGCACTTCCACGTGGTGTAATAGTTAGCAAGCTTGTCTTGCTTGATCAATTAATACTGAGTAGCGAGTTCGATCCTCATTCGGTGCTTCATATAGTCGGCTTTGGGCCACATCTAAACTTACCTAAGAAAATTTCCATTTGGGCACTTCGAGGTGGGGTAATGGTTAGTAAGTTTGCCTCGTTAGAACAATTGCGACAGTAGTAAGTTCGATCCTTACGGGGTGCTCCATACTTTCGGTCTTGTGCCACATCTAATCATATCTTTGCCAAAGGGTATTTGCGCGTAAGGGAATATGATAAACCCAACTGGAATAGGAACTCGGCTATGCGATTAACAATTCCCTGCCGTTATTCATTACAACAACCACCCACCAAGCTTAGAGTACGTGATATCGCATAGCGGTCATCCATCTAGATACTGATCAGGCTCAACGTTGCTTAACTTCGGTGATCGTACAAGCTGTAAGCTCCGTATCTTGGAGTCGAAGGTATGAAGATCTATTCGCAGTCCATGTTGGTTCTTGCTAATCTGCTGAGCCTTCGATTGGCTTGTCATTATGGGAAAAGAATAAATCAAAGTTCGTTGGTATAAATTTGAACTTTGAGCTCCTGGTGATGTTATTTTTTTGAGTTTTGGAATTTTCGAATAATTATTCCAGATCGCAGATAATTCCGTAAATTGTTGGTTGTTTTAATTTTATAGGGATAACTTACCTTTTTTTAAAACTATTATAATTATTTTATTAAAGCATTTTCTTATAGAATGGATGACCCAAAATTGCAAAACATATGATAATGGTTGGAACCCTGACGATCCGACCTGAGTGAGAGTAGTTTAAACTCCGTGATCGTAAAATTTTAATATGAGACCTAAAACGCGTGAAAACAGTTTATGCAGTTGCAAGAATAGAAAATTGAAGTCGCGTCACCATTCAAATTTCTAAGTGAGTCAAGCCATGACGTAGTTATGAGCAGTTGGCTAACCTGTTGACACCCGTCTCCTCTATCTCCATTTCCTCGCTTTCTCTAAGAAACGATACAACAACTACTGTGTTTCCCATTGAAATAAAGCGAAGAAGACATAAAGAATATTTCCTATCGTTCATTCAGTATGTAAGTTGGGGGTCTGAAGAATTGCTAATACACTACAAGAAGCCAGAGAAGCAACAATAGTTACGCCTATTTTATTGTTTCTTACGTAAGTAAATAGGCACGGTGGAGTAATGAGTAGAGGCTCGGGTTGAGGAATCGGAGAGCCGAGTTCGAATTCCAGTCGAATCCATTACATTCACTAACGTGCTAATACCCTCGGGAAAGGTATGAATACTCTACCACCCCCACCGCCCCAGCTATAGGGTTCCATAGCCTTGGATGGCAACTGGTCTACCGTAGAAAGAAATGGCAACCATCCGCGGGAAAAAAAAAATCTGCCTCGTCAGTCATGTATCGAAAGATAAATGATCGCCTAAGCGTGTATCACGCATAGCACATAACGTAATAGGTCAAAGTGGTAAAACCCAATAATAATCGAGCTCACGAAGGCATTAATATTTTTGTTTTGTTTTGTTTGTTTAACGATATATCAAGTCCTTATTCGTCATTTAATACTGAAATTTAATTTTCTTGGTAGTTTTGAAGTAAAAAAAATGTTATGTTATTCTGTTTTCACAAGTAAATACATGGTAGAGGATACTCAGCTTTTGTGCGGACATAATTACTAAAGGCGTTGATATATGTGTTTTATATTGTAGTTTTGATGAATTATATTTTGGAATACAGTTTGATTTCTTTAAAAAATTGTAGGATATTATATAGTTTAATGTTATGTAAGGATTATTTTATATTGCTTGATTTTATTTATCGGCATATCAACGTCTGTGTGTTATTTAATGCCGAAATCTAAATATTTTTAACACAATCTTATAGCTTCAACCAAATATATTTTGAACGTAATTGTATACCTTCAACAACAGAGAAAATGCATTGTTGGTCATTTTCTATAAAATGTATTGTTGGTCATTTTTCTATAAAATGTATTGTTGGTTATTTTTCTATAAACTGTATATTCCTGGTTATTTTACTATAAATAGATTTTGTTGTTAATTTTACTATAGAAATGTTGTTTTTTTTTTGTTTTTTGTTTTTTTACTTTCATAGTGTTTGTTTTTGGTTGGGGGGGGGGTTCACTATTTGCCCATAGCCGGAAGACTAACAAGTGCTTCAAGCCCAGGTCAGGGTGGACCTGGGAACAACAGTAATTAAAAAATGGTTCCACTGTCCTCAAAACCTCCAATCTCCTGTTCAGAGACCTTGCTGCCGGATGCAGTTTATCATCATACCCAGGATTAATTAATACTCTTTGAAACTAACTTGATAATCGGTGAGGTGCCTTGATATTCATGCAGTTTGAGCCAGTGACACAAATATGAAGTGTCATCACCCACTTTCAAATGG